TTGCTACCAGTGCCTGACCTCAGTTTCAAGGAGCTTTTAGGCACTGCAAAAAGATGGTAGTTCTGTGGCAGAAGTCATGGCTGTATTTCAAAGTTTCCACTGCAATAGCCCACAAAGTCCTTACATGTAAGTGCATCAGGGAGATGGTTAAAAGCAACAGGAACAAATAAAAAACAAGTGAGGGCAAGCTCTGATACATCAGGATATTTCATTAAGAACCTCATCTTCCAGTTTAAGTACCTTCGTTATTGTTCCTGCAGCCATTGAGACCTGAGGAGTTACACTATAGTAGTTACCATCACGTTGAAGCACTCTTTATTCGTTGATGCCTTACCATACCACATATGACTTGCAACTTTTACCACTGGTCTTTTTTTTTCATGAAGTTTAATCATGCAGCATGCTTGTCTTAATGGTGAAATACCTTCCAGTAAGTCCAACAAGTGAAGCTCCTACTTTCACAAAAAAATCAGCTTCTAGAGTGTTTTTGTGTATTTTTACTATGTAAACACCTTGCTAAAATGAAAGACTGACTTCACACGGATTTATTGGCAGACTCAAGAAATCTTTGTACCTATTGTTTATATCCTTTTTCACCAGGGAGTATACAGAGAAGATAGAAAGCTTTTGAAGTAAAATTACAAGACTACAGGTCATAAAGCTGAGGAAAAAAAAAAATATAAAAACAAAATTGCTACCAGTAACAAGAAAATAAGCTTTAAACAGCACAGTTGCCTTGAACAGGCTGCAATAATCGCATGGGTGCTTCAGAGGCATTGAAAAATAAAACAAGAGTCTTCAAGGTTCTGTCAGTGATAACCCCAGTACTAATTAACAAGACAAGGAAAAACATATTCCTTTAGTTATCAAGAGGACAGAAATCGAGAATAACCAGTTTCCCACAGATCACAAAGAATTCTGAAGGAAAAACAAGGGCAAACGGCTAGTTTCCACGAAAATTAACCTTCCCGGACAACTGTTACTCGCCAGCTACCAGAACGAGCAGAGCCCAACCGCAGCGCTAACAGCACCAACAACACACCCTCAGTGAGCAAACCTCAAGCCAAAGCACCAACAGAAGGCTCTGCAAGAGAGGAGACTGAGGGAAGAAACCTCCCCAGCCCCACGGAGACCCCACAGCCCCACGCAGGACCCCCACAACCCCACGGAGCCCCCTCAGCCCCCGACCCGCTCTCCCCGCCGCTGCGGGGACCCGGCACCCCGCTCCGCCCCGCACCTCCGGGCTGACGTAGGACACGAAGGACGGCTTGGCCGCCTTGGCCCCGCTGCTCAACATGGCTCCGGCCGCCCCACCGCCCGTCTCTCCGTCCCCAGGAGCCGGCGGCGCCGCCACTCCCCAGGGCTTCTCCTTCAGCGGCTCCGCAGCAGGAGCTGCGGCATCCGGCGCACGTAACCGCCCCCGCCGGCCATTTTGTGAGGCACCGCCTCCCCGCCGCGCCCGCCCTGACTGGGCAGCGCCGCCATCACTCACAGGCGCGCACTCCTCCCATTGCTGAAGCCCGGCGTCGGCGCCGCCTTTGCGCAGCGGCTAATTAGCGCTGCTAATTAACCCCCGGCTGCTCGGGTGCTGGTGGAGGCTGAGGTGCGGGGCGTGGGCGGGGCGGGCTGCCCCGCCGCTGAAACAACAGCTGCCCAGGCGGCGATTTGCATGCGGGATAGACTTCATGGAAATATATATATATATTATATATATATATATATATATATATATATATATTTCCCCCCCAAATAAAGCATGCTTTATTTTAGTGTCAGTAGGCTGTAGGACGTGGGCATCAAAAGGTTTTATTTGAAAAACAAGCAAACAAACAAACAACAACGTATGAAATATTAACGATAAGCATGTCTCATTTCCTCCCAGTCCTTTTGCTGTAGCGCTCCGCTTTATTTACTCCAAGCCCAGGTGTACAAAAAGCAAAAGGCAAAAGGAGTGCACGCACTTTAGCTCTATAAACACTGTCAAGACTCTAAGGCAGCATTTATAGAGCTAAAAGGTAGTGACTGGCAGTTCAGAAGGAAATTAATTCCCCTTCCTTCAGCCCGAGCGCAAAGAACGAGCAACCCTTCGGATTTAACCGCCTTCTGCCTAAAAATAAATAAATAAATGGATGAATAAATAAAAAAAAAAAAAAAAAAAACACACCGCGAACCCCAGAAAACTCGGAGGCTAGGTTTCATTAGCAGTTTCACAAGGGCTGCCCTGCCGCGTCATCCCACGCTCTCGTGTTTCTCCCCACAGCTGCTCCCACCCCATTCCTCTGCGCTGCCTCTGCTCTGGGCTGCGTGGCCCGTGACATTACACTGGTTGGTGTAAGTCCAGGGGGAGGGAAAAACTGGGATATATACAAAGAAACAGGATAATAAATATATAAAAAATAAATAAGGGTTGGGAGTTAGGGTGGCAATCGCAGGGTTACCTCAAAGCACTCCCTGACTTTACAGCAGCCTAAGGCAAAAAGCAGCTGTTTGATGGCATAGCACATATGGAAGGGATGTTTTGACACTGGGCCAGAGTCTTAACTCGGATGGAAAGTGCAAAAGGAGCTTTAATTCCCACAGAGCACATGGGAATTCGTTCTTCAACTTCTCATCAAAAAAGCCCAGCATCCAAAAAATCGGAATGTGGCCACTACTTCACATCAGCCAAACAGCCCCACAGCCCCGTGTCCACCCCCCAGATAGAAAGTAGGGGGTGCTTGGGAGCGGAGGATGGGGGTGAGCAAGAGTGCTCTGTTCGGGGGCTCGGTCCCCAGGACTCCTCTGTGCTGGGCAGAGCCCACTGCAGAAGAGTTTTGAAGTTCTTTTCCAGTAATTTGAGGGCCAGATTTAGATCTATGGGTTTTAATGTTTTTAGAATGGAAGAAACAACGCTGCTAAGGCAGGCAAGGTAACTTCCCTCAGGAAAGTGCATATGCATCTAAAAAGGCCAGCTGCCACCCAAAGTCACTATGCCCCAACAAACTACAGGGCACCAGGGGCTCCATTCCCTTTCACCTCCCCCTGAGGACCTCTGTGCGCTGTCTTCTCCCTTTTTCTCTCAAAATCTGCAAGATACATGAGGAGTGTTCACAAAAATCAAAGCTGGTTCCTGGGGTGGTGTATTCTTGCTGTCTGTCATCTCATGTAACACCCAAATTCCAAGTCTATTTCCATGCTTCCACCAACTTTCAGTCCATTTCAAGATAAAAGTGAGCATATCAAATGCTGTCATTTAAATTAATTCAAATTTGGATGCATGTCAATGACAATAATGCAAATGTGGGAGAGTAAAACTTTGTAAAGAGTCAAATTCTATCTTGTGCACAGGGGTTGAAGGACATCTGGTATTTCATTGCCTTCATTTTATCCTTTTTTTTTTTTTTAAACCTGCTCCTGATATTTTGCATTCTTTCTAAAAGTATAATTGCAGTATTTACCTCTACAAAGCCGTCCGCAGGAGGGAAACTCACAGACCAGCTCCGCTCTTCCCATGGACAGGGATTACTTTGTTTAAAAAACTTACATGCCATGAATTTGAGTAATTCCTTGGGCCGAATTCCCAGCTGTGCCCAGGGATCGGTGGAGCAGCTGATGGAGGGGGCCCACAAAGGAGCTGCCTGCAGCTTTCCTATCAGCTCACTTTCAGAGATCTTCTGAGCTACAACAAATCGTATCTTCTGTTTTCTTTTTCTCCCTCCTTGTCAGGGTTCTGTTGGCTCTGTGGGTCCCACACAGCCTGCATAAGGCATTATCCCAGGCACTGGCTGGAGTGCAGTTGGCGAAGATCACCGAATACGGCTTTATGCCACATTTCAGCCTCTCTGCTGATCTTCAAGCCAAGCCCACCCGCAGCCTGAGTTAGTAGCCTCTGGGTGTTTAAAACTGGTGTTGTGGCAACACTTCTGCTGGGAGACATGTCCTCTCTTGGGAAGGATCCGAATGTTTGTCTCCTGCCAAATCGGATCTGGAGTCAAGTCAAAGATCTATTAATTGAATTGTTTGTGATGGCAGAAATGCCTTGCCGTCATTCTTCAGGACTCCAAGGAAGGAGATTCAGAGAGCAGCCCAGCTTGGGACCCACTCTTCATCTACATTCATGGAGATACAGTTCTCCTCCCTGTTACCCACAGACTTTCTAGGTTAGGCAGGTTTAACATAGTGAGCAGTAAAATCCATTCCTGAGCGCTGAGCACGCTTGAATGACTACATCTGACCCTTCCTACTTCCTTATTTTGAAGAAAACAGAGGGATGCTTTGCCCTACTGTAGATCTGCAAAGGCACAGGGTGGGAAATCACTGACAGGACTCTGTGGCTGTGCTGCCCCTTGGAGCCCTCACCAGGGCTGGATCCAGAGGCTGCTTCCAGAAAATGCACTTCCAGTGGTGACACAGGTAAAGATTTTGAAGTTGCAGCTGGAAGGAGAAACTCGCAATGACAAAGCTCCTATTTTTTTTTTTTTTTTTTCCCAGAAAAGCTACCCAGATAGAATTGCAGGACTTTTCTTGTTTTACTCCTGTCTGAGCATTACAAGAAAAGTTGTCCTTAGGTGTGAAATCTGGATATTTCTAGAGTATAATTGGGCTGATACTCCCCAGAGCATCACAGATGGCCATGCATGCCTTAGAGGTAGGAGGTATCCCAAAAGTGTTGGATTTACCCTGAATATCCAGAGATCAGCCACAGTGAGTCTGATACTCCCTATTTGCATTGCTCAATTAAATAACTCGTAGCTTATTATATTAAAAGGTATGAGACCACATTAAAGTAGCTGAAAACAGTGTGCAAGAAATGTGGAAGACTTAATCCTAAACTGGATATCAGATTACTGGAAATTACCAGAAGAAAAAAAAAAATAGAAATGAGAAATGTACTGCCATGTCCTGTGGGTAAAGGTCAGCGAATCTGTCTGCCCATAAACAACCAGCAGCTGTCTCTGCTCTACACAGGTTAAGACAATTTCATATTAAAAGTCTTAGCTTTATATAAATTGAGAGAGTTCTATCAAAGTAAGAAGCAGATGAAAGAAGATTATAAAGCAATGGCTTTACTGTCAGATTGACACTTCCGTCTGCAGGTGCTCTCAGATGTCCTCTGGGAGTTGGTTCCCAAACTCGGTTCAGATTTCTTCCTTCACAGTCTGGCACCTTCATAGTGAACTTCAAGGTACCATTTGGAGCTTGGAGCTCGTTTTTACTCTCAGGTACTGAGTATATGGTCAGAGATTGTGTAATGCTGTCCTCCTATATTAATCTTTTGTGTTTTCCTTCTTTTGCACTCGCTTTCTCCACAGGCTGCATTGTGTACTTACATTTTTCAGTAACATTTTCTATTCATTGTTGGGAGAACCTAATTTCTCTAGGGAGGGTTGTGTGTGCATGTCTGAGAGGTGACAATATTGCAGACCATGAAAAAAAAAAATCCCCCAGTAAAGGCAAAGCAGCTCCGTAGCAGCTTTCCCCGGCAGAGCCCTCCTGCTACGACTCCAGCACCATTCTCTGACTCAGCTCTGGGGCAGGATGTGCCTGGTTCCTCTCTGAAGGTGGCTGAATAGATCCATTTTAACTTCTGAAGTGAAACTGTCTGGGAGGTCCCATGTGGCCATTTGTCATTACTCAGATGGCAAACAGCAGTTCCTTCAGCCCTAGTGATGCAGGCCATTACAATTTTGCATCCATCCCCTAATTACTAAATGTTCCATCCCCTAATTACTAAATGTTTTTGCTTTACAAGGGCCTTCCTGAGCCCACTGAAGAAACTGAGATTTTTTAAGCCCTGGTCAAGTGTCAAGCCAGGTATTAAAAGGCAGTAGAGAGATGCCATGAGAGCATCCCACCAATTACCAGGAGGGTTCACGTGCCATTTGGGGTTCATCTGCCAAAACATTAATGCAAGACATTATTAAAAACAACATAATGAAGATTAGGATGGAGGCGTTCACTGCTGAGAACACACCCTGAAGCAGAGTGTTTACTGGAGTCATACAGACGTACTTGGGAATTTCATGTTTTAAACTTGAGAATAGAAACCAAAATATTGCTATGAGAGCTGTGAAAATTGAGGGAACAAAGTACTTCACTTCTATTAGCAGAACCACCTCCTTTTCTTAGCTTTAAGTGGGAGAAGAGGAAGTAACTAATATCTCTAATCACCCAAGGAAGCACATGCATCAGAAACAAAAACCACAGGAGCTAGGGAAGTTCTCCACCTTTTTTTAGCTCTCCTGAAAGCAAACACAATTACTTGTGCACGCTGAGTCATCTTTGTTGTGTGGTATACCTCTTTGTTTTATTCTCCAAAGGCTCTGAATCCAAATTATATCAAGTTGTAGACTTATTCTCTCTAGCTATGCCTCAGGAGCAAGCCTATGCCAGGACTGGATGTGAGGCAGTTACATCAGGGCTCACCTCCCAACATCGTTTTTTTTTCTCAACCTGCAGGCAAAGGGATCTGCAAAGGATTGTTATAAAACAAGAAAATAAGTGTAGATACAGTTCTACTGGCATCAAAGAGCCTGAGTCTGTTCTTCTGCCTTGGAATGAACCCCAGGTAAGGAAAGAGAAACATTCAGCTCCCAGTCTGGATGTCAGTCCCTGAGATGGGTGATGGAAAAAGCTGCCCAGGAGTCCTTGCTGGAGTTACCAGGCAGCCCAGGTTCTTTCTGCCCAAGTAACTTCTCCAAATACAATGTGGACAGAAATTTCCTGGGGAAGATTTCTAGCTATCCATCACCAGGTGAGAATGTGGTCCATCTAGCTCAATAGCTGTTCCTTGCAGGACTCTTCCTGCTGGCTATGAGTGGTCTCGCTCTGGGAGAAGTCAGAGAGAACCGTCCGGCATCTGAGTCAGACAGGACAGGACAGGCAGGTTCCAGCGCACCAGTAGGGAGAAATATTCAGTGTTTGCTCGAGACAGGAGCTTCTTCTCTTTGTAAAGCAGACACAGAGTTGAAGCTTGTGCTAACAATGTCCTGTCTCTTCGGTTTTCTACTTTATCAGTAAAAATTGTATGTAATGCATGACTGAAGCAAAACATGTGTTTGTTTTAATTTGCCTGCTAAGCCCTTGACATACTCTTGGATTTGATTTCCCAATGAAAAATGCGTGTGTGACTCACAGTAATCGCGTATCTTGGGTATTGACAGAAGCCATCCAGCCCAGCACTCCTGCTGTCATCCCCAGTTCCCATATAGTTGCTGTAACTAAAAATTCCAACATGGATAATTTAAGAAACAGGCATAAACTCACCCATTAAGGAAAGCTATGTGTCTTTTAGCAGAAACTGATGGTAATATACAAATATGAGTCTAAGGACTGAATCTAGCTTCCCATTTTTGTCCTTGTCTCCAAAATGACCTTCATCTAAGTAAGGTATACTGCTAGGAAAATGAGTTGTTGAAGGAGCAAACCATTGCAACAGAAGCAGATCTGGTAAAAGAAATCTGCTAACACCATATATTCTTCCATGTTAGCAACTGTCTTCCATTTGCTAGAACATTTTTCTCCGGAATTACTGTGGTTTTTCAGTTCTACTTTTCATGTGGAAAGTTTCTTGACCAAATTTTCTAGACTTAAACCATGGCAGTGGTGATGCCTGCACTGGGTTTGGCACACTTGGATGTCAGATGGGTATTTGGAAATCTGGCTGTTTGTCTTGGGGAATCCAGCACTCGCCTGCACTTCCAGAATGTTTTGCCAGGGAAATTAGTTACTTTAGTTACTTTAAATCTTTTTTTTTTTTTTTTTTTTTTTTTTTTTTTTTTTTTTCCCTAATGCATGGGTGATATTTGTAGAGGGACTATTCCTCAGGGAGAGCACATAAAAGAGCAGAGAGGGTGTATGGAAGTTTCTCGTGAGGGCTTTGTTCCAAGCCCATGGCATTCAGGTTTGCTTTCTCTGATTTTGCTTTGCTGCTCTTTAGGAAACACTTCTGCTCTGGCTGCTCTTGTCATATGAGTTCTGAATCAGTTGTGCAGCTTGTAAACTGGCACATCTTACGCTTTTGGATATACTGGACAGCATGCCGGGAACATTAGTTGAGGCATCCAGAATGCTGGTTTATGATTTACCACTGCCACATGAGGAATGCTTATCCCGAATCCATTATCCTGAATTCACCCCTGACAGCACAAGAGGCAGACAACAAACACAGCTGCAAGACATTTCTTGAGAAATGGCTGCAAGAATGCAGAAATACGCTGTCTCCTCGTACAGGAATTACATCTAAAATGCCTCTCTTCCTGTTCCCAGTGACTTGCAAGATGGATTCTTCTGATGCACATTTTCTCAAGTCTTCATCTGTAGCCTCTTTCTCAATGTGAATCTCTATTTACCTGGGAAAACTTCTAGAGCTCATTTCTTCTTTGCAGCTCCAAAGTGACTCTGGACAAATTGAATCGCTCTTCTCCCAAACCTACTTGCTGAAATGCTTCATTTCCTTACCCCAGAAAGTATTTGCTTCTAATTTATTCATGAGGTAGTCCTGCCTGGGCTTCTAACCACTGATCTCCTCTTACGCACTAGCAGTGATTTTACATTGGATTTTGCTGCCATGGCAACTTTGATGTATCGAGGGTGTATTTTGGCCTTTTTTTCTTTCTCTCCCTCTCTCTTTTTTTTTTTTTTTTTTTTTAAGTGCACCCTTCTCAATAGAGAGGAATACCGGAGTAGCTGAAAGATCACAGTTTTTGCCTCGTGCTTGTCGCAGCGATGTGAGAATTAAACGTCCCCTTCCAGAGGGCAGCTGCTGCTAATGACAAGAGCGCTCTCTGCTGTTCTGAGCACACGGACACGTTTCAAGCATCTGCCTAGCTGAGGCGGTTGATTTCCTCCTGCATAAAAATGCAATTTTTTTGGCTGTGCAGCATCTTGACTTCCGATTTTATTTTATTTTTATTTTTTTTTTAAGCACTGATCGCGGACTCTCCCTTTGTTCAAACGCAGCAGAACAAGGCATGAATGCCAGACGTACAGCTTTGCCTGCTAAGTAAGACACATGCATACGGAAGCTCAGCCCCCTCTCTTCATCTTCCCTTTCATTTCCCCCCCAGCACATGAACGGTGACCAGCTTAAACCATTTCAGTCTCAACCTTCTCAATAACCTGGCACTTTTTGTCTTTGATGCTTTAGTAGAGCACTGCAGTAGTTGGCATGGGTGGCAAATTACATACTGCACTGGCCCTTCTCTCTGCATGAGACAGAGCCTTCATGTTGCTGCACTATTTATATTTGTAGTAATCTGTTTTAGTACTTGACATCACTTTTCTTCAATTTTGCATTTAGATTTCATTGGTAGTTCTCCAGCAAAAAGCCTTCCTCATTTAATGTATTCAATTAGACCCATTTAACAAGTTCTGTTCTGATACTGGTTTACTCAGTTTCTTTCCCCTTTCTTCTCATAATTCATTAAAATCCTACTTCTTTTTCCTGCTTAAATGTGTACATCCTTGTTTCTGCAAAAGGGCGCCAAAATCATAATGAACTTGAAATAAGCTACATTATCAGAAACAATATATTTGGGACTGGAAAAAGACTGTTGGGTGACATTCTTGAGATGTGGCCACAGAAAGCTGATTGCTCAATATAAGAAACAGGAAAATTCACGTTCACATTTGTACAGGTTAAATATTTATATGGGTGATAAATGTTTTTTGTAAATGATTAGAAACAATTAGTCTCTCTTGTGCTGGCATAACAACTTTCTTACTCCATTCAAGCAGTAAGAACACAATCCAACCAAGTTAGCCATTGTATGTTTAAAAAAGTTACTAAAATAGCTTGGAAGAGAAAAATGTCAAGTCAATGATTCATAGAATCACAGAATATCCCAGGTTGGAAGGAACCCACAAAGATCACCAAGCCCAGCTCCTGGCTGCACACAGGACCACCCAAAAATCAGTCCATGCATCTGAGAGCCTTGTCCAAATGGTTCTTGAACTCCAGCAGGCTTGATGCTATGATTATTTCCCTGGGCAGCCTGTCCCAGTGCCCGAACACCCTCTGAGTGCAGAACCTTTCCCTAACCCCCAGCCTGACCCTCCCCTGTCCCAGCTCCATGCCGTTCCCTCGGGTCCTGTCGCTGTCCCCAGAGAGCAGAGCTCAGCGCCTGTCCCTCCGCTCCCCTCGTGAGGAAGCTGTAGACCATGATTCCTATGTATTTTTAAAACCTTGGACAGAAGTAAATCACAGAACAGATGCTTAGAAAACCGACCATCATTACTGGGACAAATCGGCATGGTATTTAATTATCACAGGCATTTGAGCTTCCCCTCCTTCTGTGACAAGCACACAACACTGCTAATGCCAGTGCTTTCTCCATCATTATCCAGCCTTGCTGTAGCTGTTTCATGTGACTATACTGGCAATGCTCTGGACCACACTGGCACAAACTCTAAGAAGGTAAAAATACCAACACTTTTCTATCATGGAAATGAATACATGGTACAATACATAGCTAAACAATGCCATTTTATATGTCACATACTGAAATATACATACAGGGCTGGCTGATACAGTCAGACTTCTGCAAAACCTGTCCCCTTTTGCAGCACCACATACCTTAGGAGCACATAAAATGGCACTGAACCCTTGTGTTGAGGCATCTTAACCTCTCTCATAATGTTCTGACTTGCATTGTCAGCAATACAGCTCAGCTTCCTGTCCTAATAGCAAACCGTTAACTTGCACAACCAGCAAATTACTGATAAATCTAAACATATGCCTGCAGTTAAATCTGTGACAAAGGTATCTCATATTCTGGAGAGCTTCCTAATCGTATGCATACAATCGATGTAAACATGACACAGTGCAGAAGAGGAAAGAAAAAAGGCTTATGTAAGGAGCAATGTTTATGATTCATGTAGAAACAAGACTTTTAATCTCCTTTTTAATGATGAAGTAACCTTCTGCTGTAGAATAAATGATTTATTTTATCTTTGTCAGCTGTTCCATTCTGCAAACTTCACATTTTCAAATGTAGGAAACTTCAAAAATTAATAGCTATTTCTTGATACCTTCTATGTGTCTTTGGATTTTAGGACATCAATTTGAAATAGGATTGATGTAGAATGTATTTGAATATAATTAAGCTATGCTGAGCCTCTAAATTGAAACTGTCTTTCACTAGCTTCAGAATATTAATAGACATAGATTTGCAAAACAGTTTAAGAAAACAATTGTATTAATTAGATGACCATTTCTAATGCTGGTATGTTAAGGCAACATTAAGTGGGAAAGTATGCACTGTGTAGGACAAAAATCCCCTGCTGCCAATCTGATAGCTATGAAAAATGATGCACACTACCGTTAGGAGCTTTACACTTGCCAAGTATTATTAGGGTAGCATTTCTTAAAATGCAGAAGGTAAACATCAGAAAGCAGTCCAATGAACAACTGGAAACAGTACTATGAACATATATGTACAATTGCAATTTTCATAAATCCAAATGAGAAAATGATACAAAATGGGTACAAAATTAACAGATACTTACAGAATTAAGCCTGTTTTTTATTTGGTTGAGAACCTTTGTGGTAACACTATACTACAGATGACAATCCTTGGATTTCGTCCCCATCCCCAAAAGATTTGTTACCTGTTTCATTTGAAAAGGTCTGAGAAATACCACACTGAATAAAAAATAATGAAAAACTCTTGAGAAGATTTACAAAATAATCTATCAGAAGAAATTTGATTTGTAGCCTTTCTGGCTAGAAAACTCTTCAGCTTACAGACTTCAGAGAAAAGAAAGAAAAAGAATGGAAATTTTGTCTCCCTAAGCACACAATGTACTTAAAAGTCAAAACTATCTCTGTATGTTTTAAAATGTTGTTTTTCCATTCTTAGTTTTTCCAGAGCCAGTAGTTACCTAGTGAAAACAGCCCATTAAAATGGGCAGGAAAAAAAGGAAGAAACCGAAATTAACTCTTCACCACACAGCGCAAAAATCATGGTCACAGCTTTGTATTTAATGTGGAATCACTTTAAGTATACAATATTTTGAAAGATCCAGAAACTGGTTAAGAGATAAAAGCCAGCAGAACAAAAATACAGGAAAACCAAAATAACATCTTTGACCTTTTTAATCCTAAAGTTAGGGTCCCATGCCTGAATAGACAAGTTTTAGCTTTATGAGGAAAGAAACTTTGGTATGGAGTTGAACTAGCCACACGAATAGCACCTGTAGCTTTCAAAAATAAATAGTAATGGCTAACTAGACACTATGGCAGCAAGATATCCCCCTCTTAAAAAAAAAAAAAAGAAAAAAGACTAAGAACAAGCACACACTTGGAAGTTACGCCTCAAGGCGGGACAACAGAAACTAGTGTAATCTTTTTTATTTTTTTACAGGAATTTTAAAGCACATGCTAATTATTGTATTTCTGATATTGAAATTATTTAAGAAATCTTACTTACAATGAGAATGTTTTCTCTTTATTTGCTTACCACTAATACTCACTTCTTTTAAAATTGCACTCTGATACTTGAAGAACACTGTATTAACATTTTTCTTTAAGACCACTTCTATTTTCTAAAATATTTTATTTGCATTCCATAGACCCATGCTGTTAGCAGTGGGTGTTGCAAAACAAAAGTATCCCCCTACTCCAAAACTTATTTTATTTAAAAAGGTCAAAGATAAAATCAACCACAAACTGGAACAAACGGGTTTTTTTAATAAACTATCAGAAATAACAAATGATAGTTGTGATGCCTGACACTCTCATACAGCCAGTGATTAGATACCGGAATGTTAGTCTATGTTATCTGTGTGTTTTATGGGTTTGCAACAAAGCGTAATACACATTGAACAGAGTAATTGAAACTTCAGTTTCCAGTGTATAATGAATTTAAGTCATTTAATAAATTTTAGTTTTTATTCGAGTATTCCACTGTAGTGCTGTGACAACAAATCACACCTGTGTACCAGAGCATACATCAACAGTATGATGTAACTTTACTTACACCACTGCTATATTTAGCTTTTTGAAAGAGACATAAGCATACACTATGGCCACATCAAATAATTTTCTGGGTTTTTTCTTTGATAACCTTCACTTATAATACTTCACTTTTAAAATTTGAATATCGAAAAAAAATCACAGAAGTTTTATACAGGAATAGCTATAAGGAATAACCTCACAGGCACTGATATGACAAACATTTATTTGTTAAGGGCTGAGAGGCATTAATATCATATTGACAAAGTTGTTTGAAAAGAACGACAAACTTTGTCCAAATGGGAAATGCCCGTTTCTGCTTATACG